AATTGAGTAATTATAAAAAAAATTGATTTATGTTTAAAAAAGAGTCTTTTTTTGACAAAAAGGGGATATGGAATGAACCTAATTCTCCAGCGACGATATATTTTATATTTACCATAAAATCTATTCTTCATTATATTGATAGTATAAGAAACTAAAATGAACAAAATTGTAAGATAATATAAATCAAACCAATCACTGTCACTGATTGAATTCAAAATTGTAAATATTTACAAGCCGCACCCACATGAAAAAACATTTACGACCAGACTCATCCCGAAATAGATATAATCAATATTTCCTCACCCAGCCTATGGGTTGGTTTTAGTAGACCTCTACAGTAGAGCAAAATATATCTTTAAAGTGTTTTAGTTTTAATTGATATAATAGCTTAAGTAGTATACAAAAGAATATATTGGAGTTTTTCTTTTTTTAATTTAATTTTAAATATTTTATCATTAACTTATTTATTAACTGCACTTAAATAATAATCGTTCCAATGTTTTTTCCTCGTTTCTTACTAAATTCATATTACCAATAAAAATAATATATATGATGTTTTTATAAGAAAATATTTTCTTACTATAAATAGATATAAGATTAGTTTTCTTCTAATAACTTCGCCAGAAGAGCCATGTTAAGTTTAGAATTCTCCCTGAACTAAATTTCCCTGTCATTACATTACATTAGAGCATTCAGTGGCTTCTAACATAGCGGTGGTAAGATGCAGGATCTAAAGGGTAACAATATGATCCTTCAGTAAAATTCCCACAGGAGTACATTTTTTAAACCACCTTTGTCTTTTAGAAGGCCACCTATCTTGTATCAGTTCAGTAATAATTATTTGCAGTTTTAGGTGTATATTTTAGTAAGTTAGGGATTTTTTTAGGGCGTAGTGGGAAAAATTTCAACAGTTAAGTGAATTAATCTTTTTTTAGAGGGAAGGCTAAGATAACTAATGGCCTTGAAGGATGTAGATAGCGCAGTATTGGATTGTGTATTATAAAAACATCCTTGATAGCAAGGACTTCTTTTTCATGGAAAAATTCTGAATCATTAATATTAATAACGAACAAATAAAAAATTTTTATGCCTATATTATGATTAAGTTAGGGATTTTTTTAGGGCGTAGTAGGAAATATTTCAACAGTTAAGTAAATTAATTTTTTTAGAGGGAAGGCTAAGATAACTAATGGCCTTGAAGGATGTAGATAACGCAGTATTGGATTGTGTATTATAAAAACATCCTTGATAGCAAGGACTTCTTTTTCATGGAAAAATTCTGAATCATTAATATTAATAACGAACAAATAAAAATTTTTATGCCTACATTATGAATTAATACCATTTTTTTTTAACTATCTTAAAGAAAGTTAAAATTATAAATAATTAAAAATATGCATTCGGGAAGCTAATTGAAAATTGCTTTTATTTTTTATTAAAATAAAGCATAGCCAAACCGAATATGATAAATATTTTTTGTCTAATTTTAATACCTTAAAAAAATAAACATTGGGAAACCTAATTAATATTTTTTTATAAATAGGAAGAAATTTATAAGAGTACCGTGTCTTGTAGGAAAAATTGATAAAAGAAATACTTTTTTATCTTAACCATGGTTTCAAAATGAAAAAATGTATGTGCAGTTTTAAACTAAATTTGTTGTTATATTTAAGTATATTTCGAAGTGGATATTATAGAAAACACACTATCAATTATTAATATTTACATATATATGCACGTTTGAAAATTTATAAAGATAAACTTTACATTTCGTCACTTAATTTAGATAACTAACGTTGATGCAGATAAAGTCATTTGTAATTTACGTTTGCATGTAGTAAATTTTTTAATTATCCAATCAAATCCTTTCGAAACTCTATCAATACATCGAGCTTAATGAGGCATTTATTAAACAAATTGTCACCTCCTATGAAATGAAACGAATAAAGTTTAAAATTTTCAAGTCCATTGTGATAACTGCTACTAATGACATTATAAAAAATTTAAAAAAAATAGATTCTTTCATTAATTAAATTTAGTCTAAAAAAAAATAACATTCGACACCACTGCTGATTTACATAATAGCGTAAAATTGCCGTTGGCCAATCGTTTAAAGAAAGAATCGCCAATAATAGTTGGCAAGAGTTAATCTCATAGAAGGCAATATCAATATGATAATGCATCATCCCAGCTTGTTGATCCCTTCTCCTTAATCACTCATTTAATCATATAAATAAAGATAATTTCTTTTTCATCGATAAAAAAAAATGCAAATAGATACTAAATACAATTATAACTTCTTCTTGAGAACCCAGCTAAAAAATTGGAGTTGTTAAAACTTCGCGATATTCTAATCGATACATTCTACATATCGGCATCAAAAAATTGATACATTTTAGATACTTTTCATCAGAAAACCCCAAATAATAATTAACCATTATTAAAAAAATTTTTTATATTGGTCTATTAAGCCATAAATTTACAAGCTTAAAAATGAATCTAAAAATTTACCCAGGTAGAATAAAGAGAGCATTTAAAAAAGTAAAATATTAGGCTTCATAATATTATTTATATACCTTTATTATGAACATAATTATACGAGTATAAAAAAATTAAGAGTACAACTTCATTTAAAAATTTAAAGAAAGGTGGGGTTTTATTTTTTTTAACGAAGTAAATAAAAATATTGATCTTTTAATGTAGTAAAATTTAATTTTTTTTTAAACAGTAAAATATAACTAATTTTTTAAAAAATATATATTATTTTGAGAATTTTTTAATATATATTACAAATATTCAACTTCCTTGTTTCTTATGGGATCCTTACTCACTAAAATAATGACTAATTTAAAATTTTCAGAAAAATTTCTTTTTTATTGTAACAAATAGGAAAAAGTAGAAGGAGAGGGGGAGGGGGTTAATGTTGACCTACTGCAATTATTTCCTCTGATGAAGACTCCGCTTTTCTATTGTTTTGTCAAAATCTAGGATCCTCTCTCAATAAATCTCCATCAATTCGATTTAATTTTTTCCTATTTTCACTTTTCATATTTTTTCTTAAAATTATTTATATATAAAGTTAATAAATATATGATAATCATTAAATTATTTCAAATAACTTTAACCGTTTAATATTTCTTTAAGTATCGTCACCTGTAACCGTTAATATTTGCAGTTGTCTATTCCTGGATTTGATTTTTGTAATAAATTTTGACTCCTCGCTTATATCGGGATATATGGAATCAATGGGGATTCGCAAATTACAGATTTTAATTTTTTAAAGCTCATTTTTAAAATCTGATTTAACCGGAAATGGATTTAGGCATGTATAGAATTCCCCCATTGAATTTCAAGCAATTTTCATTCGGACTTTAGAACTATTCTTGATTTCTATTGTGCATTATAGGGATTTTTCATATAAATTTTAAAAAATCCAAACTTTTATAGCAATTCTCTGAAATTGATAGGGTAGGTTCTCATGTTGGAATACACTTCTTGTTAAATCGGATTTTAAAAACTGCCTTCAGTAAATGATATAAAGTCGAAAGATCCTCATCTCTATGGATTTATGAATTTCATATAAAACCATATGAATCTAAATAAACAAATTAAATGAAGTTTCAAAAATAATGAAAATTTATTTTTAACTAGTTGAAATACATTTTTATATATTCCATCAACTAAATTTTGAGGTTTTCTTACTAATCCTAAACGTTTCAAAAGTTATTTCCTGATAATAGTATTAAAAAAATTTAATAAAATTGTAACGATATAGTCAGGTAATGACGGAAATGAGCTCGAATAGATAAGCAACAAAAGATCAAATAAAATAATTTGCAGAAAAGCATAAATAGTTTTTAAAAAAAAATTACAAGTTAAAATTTAAAAATTTATTTCAAGTGAAAATTATATTTGTTACATCCTACTAATTGATTCTTTTAAAAATATCTCAATCAAGAAACAAATATAGAGCTCGCACCCGCGTCACGTCGGCAAAATGCTGAAAAAAAGTATAGATTATAAACCTTTCTATAAAAAAATCAGTTGTGATTATTATTATTTATTTACGTCTCCAATTTCATATTATTGCTTTATTGTAGTTGTGAATATGTTATGACAGAATATTCCTCATGTCATAATTTATACCTCTCTACTTTATATAACAAAAATATGAAATTATTTTAAATATGGGTCTTAGAATATCAAATAAGTTTTTAGTAATCATATAATATTCTTTAGCAAACGAATATTATCCATATTAGCTAATAACTATAATAAGTCTGAATTCCTATTTTTTTAAAATTTATCTAGGAATAAGACCTAATTGAAAAAAGGAAGCTAACATTAATATTGAAAAGAATAGAAAATTAAGACATTTCAGATTGTCTATCAAAACTTTATTGTCATTTAAATGATTTTTGTATGACAAAATTATTTTCTATTTTTTTTAAAAAAAAGATAACATATAAAATTTAAATGAAATAAATGCATGTAAAACAAAAAATCTCTATCCAAAAAAATTTCATTTTTTTTTAATAAGGCTCATTGAATCTGGGATCTATAGTACCATCTTCGAATAATCTCGTGAATTTCAAGGTATTTGGATTATCTTTCTATCATGTTATAATATAAATAAATATAAAAATTCTTAAAATATTATTTTTTTAGGAAAAAAAATAAAAAATTAATTCTTAAAATTTATCATTATATAAAGATGGAGTATACTTTATAATAAATTTATAATTATAAGAATATATATAGTATAGTAATATAGGTTTACAAACCAAACCGAAAAGGTTAAGTTTTCTTTATTCTTTTATTAAATTTAAAAAACATATTTTAAACATCGATGTATATAAGTAGAATGTTTTGAATTGTCAAATTGTTATTATTTAAACGAGTATTATATATATAATTATGATGTATAATAATAGTTTTAGAGAAAAGAGGAGGTTAAATGGTTAAACTTAGAAAGTTGAGTATTTTAGTTGGATTGACATTTGAAAAATTAAGTGCATTTATGATAACATATTTATAATAATTATATTCTAAATATAGAAAATATTACTTATACCACGTGTATAAATATAAATTAATTGAAAAGTTTAAATGTTTTAGAACATTAGACTAGAAGAAAATTGCATTATTATCATTATATACTTTTAAATCCTATTATTATTTGCTATACTTAAAAAAAATTTTCTTCTTCTCAGAGCGAATATTTTTTTTTGAAATTTATTTTAATTTATTTCGGTTTATTAATCAGTAAGCTTGGAATATACGAGGATCTAAATCTATGCCATTTATGGATTCCATTATCTTCTCTGAGTTGTTGGACAACTGAGAAGGATCGATGCTTCCCTGACGTTTAAATAATAATAACAATAATGTAATAAAAAGTTTTTAATTGAGTAATTTAAGAGTTACAAGTATAATTATTACAGATTTATTTTCTTATTTTTTTTTTAGAAAAAATGATTACGCAATTATAACAGAGAATATATTAGTGGTTTATTTGTCTCAAAGAAAAAAAAAATAAAATATCTTGTTTTTTCTTTTTTAAATTTGAAAATTACGAAAGGGTTAAAGGTTAAGGTATTTACGAAAGGAAGCAGAAGAGTTGATTGAAACTCGGATAATAATATTATACACTAGGTCACATCATATCCCTTTCATTCAAAGTTATAGTAACCTTTTTTTTTTTAAATAACATGTCAAAAAAAATATTTTTCCACTACTGTTAAATAACTGAGGATAACCTTTGATGCAAAATCGCTCCTGAACCGATTTTTAAAAACGGCTAACTCAGTATTCTATCCGGAAAAATACTAAGCAGGCCTTAATATTTTACTCATAGATGGCACAGTGGTTTGGATTGGATATCTATTGGCGAAACTTTAAAGCTTAGTGCACCTTTTTAAAAAATCGGTTCAAATGGGGTAATTTTGCATCACTACTTTCTCGTCCTTATTTTAAGTGGTATAAGCCAGAAGAATAATTGAAATAAAAAAGAGTGTACCATATCTCTGAAAAGGGATTCTAAAGTGAATTTTTTTTAAAAAATGTGATGCAATCAAATTATTTATGATTGCTAATTAAGATAAAAATATTGTCATGTAATATTATGTTACCTCTTGTAAAAGATCCTGAGCTGCTATAGCCTTTAAAACATTTTTTTTACTGCTTTCTTGTAGTTCGCCTCCCAATATAATTTCGTCGAGCATAAAATAAGCCTTTTCAAAATTAAAAATTATGTCCAGTTCGCATACCTTTTTTTTAGAGGATAAAGAAAAAAAAAAGGATTAATATCATAAATTATAATAACTCTAAATTTTACATTTATATTTTTTTTGATACGGGTTTAAGAAAAATTTGCATATTTTTTACAAAAATACTCTAAGATAATATTTATTCACTATTATATGTCATATATTAGAGAAGTATGAGTTGGGTGGGAGGATTATAGAGAAGGAACAATAATTAATTAATTGTATATCAAATGCTGAGGCCGTAAAGCTTAGAAGATCGCCCTTCAGGATCTGGATATTTATTAGCTGCTTAAGATAGAACCCCCATATTTCTGTTACTTTTTACAACCATTATAACAAATCTCTTTTTTACAAATTGATAATTTTAATTTCATTTATATAAATCTTTTCAGTATATTCACATTTTTATATTAGTGTATTTTCATTATAATACTTAATATCGATATAAACAGTAGGCCGGCTTATTACTGACTACTAGTGAATAATAATATATTATCCTGATATAATAAATATTATTATATATAAATGTAAATTATAAATAATATATGTGATCTCAAATACGTTTTTGAAATTATCAGAATTAACATTAATGAATGCATATTATCTTACACTGCCAAAATATTTATCGAGCAATTCAACATATCTATGGATGACCTCCAAGCAAATTAATTCGTTATCTTCTGGATCAATCGCTGCACAAAAGAATAGACTGGCATATCTAATGTAATGTATTATAGAGTTAATTATAATTGTGTGTATAAGATTTTATTCAATTATCTAAGAATTTTAAGATTTCCTATTATTCTAGCGAAGAAACGTAAAAGAATAATTTATCTATATAACATTTTAAATTATTAAAAAACTTGGATCAATATTTATAAAAAAAAGTAGGAAAATGACGGTCATTCCCAATAATATGAAATGTAGTAGTGAGAGTGGCCATAATATATAATTTTTGAAATAGTTTTATAAAAGGTTTCTGATGGAGCTACCCCAAACTGATTATTTTAGAATGATCTACCCATTTGAGGTGATCACATTTAGAGATTTTTATAAAAATTACGTTTATCCCTTTTTTGTCGTTAACATATTATTTTAAAAATTATTAAATTTTCCCAAGTAAAATATCAGCAATAAAAAAAACTTCAACTAAAAATGTTTCAAAGATTAAAGGAGTCTCTAAAGCGATTTAAGCATATAATAGTAAACTTAAGGATTATAATATAACTATTTTCTATAAACAACACTTAAATTACCGATTATTTATTGATGAATCTTCTTAATCTTAATAGATGGAAAGTTCTCCTAAATAGGCCAGGCCCCGTTCAGCCCAATTTTTAAAATTATTTTTTTAGGGGATACTTACCGGGTTGGGTCCTATGTTTAAATTCCCTTTTCAGGGATCGGGTATTGTGGCCAAAAACTATTTCGAGAATTTCGAGAAAGAAATATTTTGCTATTATTTTACAAATAGTATTGTATAACCTTTTATAAACGATTTTATATTCTTTCCATTCCAGAAAATTGCACATTTTTGGTTTTCGGGTAAGCACAATAGCTATAAGCTCTCTGGATATTTTCTTCTTGTCTTTATCTTGAAGAGGTTCGTACCATTTTTGTAACCTCAATTTTCCTTGGCGACTGAACAATATAAGAAAGTTGAGCTTTTTTTTGTGATTATATTTTTAAGAAAAATATTTTTAATTAAATATCCGAGAATAATAATGGCGATACCCCCCCCCCCCCACTTCCCATCTTAATCAATTTTGTGAGACCATCTAAATATTTAATAAACCGCATTATTAATAATATTCTTTATATGTTCTCTGTTCCCATTTCCCTAACTCAGATTATTATGTTATACATTTTTAACGTCCAGATATAGTCATACTATTTTATAAGTATAGGCCATATAATTTAAGAGCTAAGGAGAATCCAATCGCTCTTAAATTTATTTATTGTTTAAATTAATTTGTGGTTTGGTGGTGTGACATAGGCTAGAGGAATTATTGCTTACTTACATCCGAATATTATTCTGATGAATATTATGCGCGCGTGACACACTTAATCCCTATATAATTAATATTAAACTTTTGAAACAAAAAAAAGGATAAAACCAGCGAATTTTTAAAAAAATCTCTTTTATCCTTATAGTATACAATAAATCTTTCTCAACATTAATTTGATATTTTTAGATATATTTTAACCATTTTTTTCAAGTTTTATTTTGTTTATTAGAAAAAAGATATATATTTTAGAAACACAATATTGTTAAGAATAAAATTGTAAGATTATTTATGGCATCTTATCCTTTTAAAGTAAAAAGGTTTTTAATAAATAATCTTATCTTTTTTTTGTCAGCAATCGTAAAAATTCATCTATTTTTGAAGATTTGGTGGGGGAAAATAAATTTTCACTCATTTATTTGACACTTACAGTGTATATATAAATATTTACAAAATCTAAATTTTTGATCCAATTAAGAACTACTTATATTTTAAGATTTAAAAAAATCAGTTTTTCTCACGCTGTTTGCAATTTTTTTTATTAATATAAAAAATAATTTTTTATACATAAATTTATCTTTGTATCTGAACGAAAATGAAATTGAATAGAAAATTAAAAAGGTTAATAAAAATTATATTAAGGATAAAGAGCGCACAGATTTTAGCCAAATAATATGTAAGGCTAGAAATATCACAGATAAAGAATATAAATCTCGAGGCTTACATGCTAGAAATGATAGAATTTTCTAAAAAATGTTATTTCAAAAATATCATATCAAAAATTAAAAACTATTAATATGAACTAAAGCCCCTGCACGTATGTCCTAGTCCCATCTGGACTTGCAGAATCCGTTAAACCCGGACGGATATTTTTATTCGATAAAATCCGGCTCTCGGATTCGAACCTCGACAAATTTTTAAATGATCTGTTTTCCGAAAGTAGACAAAATTATTCAAAAAAATATATAACAAGCTCCAACTTAATCTGTTCCTTTAAAATTCATGTATACTTTTTTTCTCGCCGGATCTCTAAATAAATAATCGGAATTTTTTTAAAAATTATTTCTTGAATCGAGTCTAATCTGAAAATTAATTTTCGCCAGGATAGGAGTTATTTTAAAAAATTTGGGTCGAAACGGGTTGGGTTTAAATTTTTAAATATGATATCATTACATTTTATCAAATAAATTGATATATTTTAAAATTCTTACAAGAAATAAGGCCCTAATGATTTTTATTTGTAGAATATATTTTATCAAAAAAAACAAATTTTTCTATATTTAATTAAATTCGGGCCAGTGTGGGAGTACAAATAATTTCTATTTCTGATCGGGCTTTTCGGGACAAATTTAAAAAAATTTTTAGGGTTCGTGATGGTGGGCAGGACATATTTTTAAAAAAAAATTCGGGCAGCCGATGTAGATCACTAAAGAGTGCTGCTAAATCACCTATCTTTAACCAACGTTAAGGGCTAGAAAAGTTTATATCCTAAAAAAAAATTGCCTCACTCTTAAGTTGAGGCTAAATTAGATGTGTTTGGAAAATTTTTTTTAGACTAAATGCTATATTTGAGCTGGCCAAAGCTATGTTATTTAACAGTATTATTTCGTTTTATAAAAAAATTGCTCAAGACGATCAACAGGTAAAGAGGTAGCTATCGAAAAGGTAATCAATTTATATAGGTTAAAAATGAATTGGTTATTAAAACTTATTAATTTTTTTTTTACCATTAATTGAGAATACGAGAAATCATTGAATATATTTTAATTTTTTTTCTTTTCAAAAATAATGATATTTATAATTATGTGAAATTGTAAAAAAGAAGGAAAATAAAAACTCCCAAAAAATTTTTTTATATTGCCTGAAAATATTATAATTTTATTTATTTTTTTTATTTCTCGATGAAAGAACCTTATAATTTATTTTTATTTTTAAAAATAATTTTATTTAAAAAAGTGGCAATAGCATAAAAATTATGAAAATCTTAGACAAATATTCTTTATTTTGTTTTTTTAAATTATATGAAAAGTTTTATAAAATTCAAGTGTTACATCAACCGACATTTTTTTTAAAATTATAATTATTATGTTATTTCACAACTAAAAATTATGCCAATAAAAATAAAATATATTATATAATAATAATTATAATACTATATATTTTTTTTAAATCAAATTTTATTACAAAAAATAAACAAATTTACCTTAAAATGATATAAATTTACTAGTATATAAAATAAAAATGTCATAAATTTTTTTTTAGCCTTAAACTATTAAAAAATAATAATTATTATTTTTTATTTGATTGAAATAACAAAATTAATTTATTTTATCAATTCCTTCCCTTTTAAATCATTTCACTTGATTAGTTTTTCCTAAAAGATAAAGGAGGTTTCATTTCAAAATAAATATGTTATAATAATTTGACCATTTTGCGATCTTAAAACCATTCAAACTCCCTCAATTTGTGAATATTTTTTTTTGGATTTGGAATGAAATTTTTCCTTCAAATTTTAATTAGGTGATCATATAGATAGGGAAAATTTTTGATCGTTTTCATTGCTCAAATTTATAACATTTTATTATTTTATATGAAGAAAATTTAATACCCACCGGAAACCCTCTCTAATACCCCAGGGTAAACCCTGCTATAAATCCACTTGGGAAAAATATTATATATAACCACTGATATTGCACCTACTTCAAATTGAATATTTTTTAATTAATAAAATGCCTTTGTAACATTAAAAATCAAAAATATATATTAGTCGTTCGTAATATGTGCAAAAAAATTACATTCTATTCGCTAAGTGCCCTATATAGTTAATATTAGTTATATTCAAAATTTTTAAATTTATTTGATCTGGCTACATATTATATTTTCTAAGAAAGGTACATCTCCACAGGCTATGATAAAAATTGTGAAAAAATAATCATCTGCTCATGCTATATATCAAAGACCTGCAGAGGAACCAATTGCATGGACCGACATGCCCCGGGTTTGTAAAATAAAATTTAAGCTCAGAACAAATTATTTTAAAAAAATATTTGATAACTTTTTTTTATAGCCCTGGATTGATGACTTGAGTTTTAAAAAAATATAACAATTCGGCATTTTAGGGTTAGTTTTTCAAATAATATTAAATCATTTAATATCTAATTACCTTTAAAATAATCTTTATTCTAAAAATGAAGATAATTTATAATTTAATACCAAAGAAAAAAAATACCTTTGTTGATTGTTTTTGGCAAAATATATTTTATTTTATAATTTTTGTAATTGACCAAAAATAAAAATTTTAATGAATTTCAAACAATTTTGCCAGGGACTTTTGAACTTATTGAAAATTTATATTGGTTTTTTTTTATATAAAAATTATAAATGACTCGAGGGTAACGGCGAAATTAACTACAATTTATAAGATAGGTATTAAACATGCTCGAACACATTTCCGGTAAAATAAAACCTTTACATTTATAAAACGCGCTCAAAAAAAATTTAAATTTGAAAAAATAACACTTACCGGAAAAAAATATATTGCCCCTAACATGTATAAATGAAAACTTTTATAACGATATTGTGTTACTTATTTATATAATACTTATTAAACTATAAATTTTCTCAAATTCAAGTTTTTTTGTGTTTGTGTGTATATATACTATATATAACTTAAAACGATAATTAAACCTATTCAGTTTTTGCTTAATGATGACTTTATTTGTGCCAAAAATATCCAAAACGTTAAAAATTTAATTGCTAGAATAACAATAAAAAAAAATTTCAAAAATATAAACTTATACCTAGTCATTTTTAAAATTTTAATTTTATGTAATTAAAAAAAACACAATCAACAATGGCATTGAAAATTTTTTTTTTAAATTTGTGTCACATTTTTATTAGCGGCGCATTTTTGGTTCTTTAACTATTTCCACATTGTTAACTTTATCACCACTATTCCATCTAATTTGAGAATCAATGAAACTTGATGAAGTCCAATTGTAGTAAATAAAATAAATTATAATTTAAAATTTTAATACCAAGATATTTATTTTATTTATAAATTCAAATTTACTTTTTGAATTTTACCTAAAAAAAATATAACCCACCTAAATATTATTAGGAATATAAAAGTGATACAATGTTAGCCATATAAAATTAGGCTAAAATGTAGAATAGGAGAAGAAAATAAGGATGGAAGAGTTAGGTCTATGAAAGCTTTTGAAAAGTAGACCGCATTTGAAGGTAATGTAGTTTGCTTTGAGGATGGCTATGGCCAGACTCTGTCTTAAGAAGAAGCCTCATCAATGGCCCGTCAGAAATCTTGCAGATGTGAGAACCCTTGAAGAAGGATAAAGAAAGCTTACCGAAGGATGTTAAGTTAGGGAATTTAATTGATACAAAAACTTGGCTTTGATCCGAATATTTGTCAATTTTGAGCTGTCTTGTTCGAATTAAGTTAAATATTTGATTTTTGTAGGAATAATCCCGATTAAAAAAATTGTCCCTTTTCTATAGGCAGATAGACTCCTACACTACACTAAGACAATGAGAATATTACCATTTTACTCTCCCTCCTAAATCAGAATTAGTAAAAATCAAAACTTGCAAAATCATGCCCCTACTCTACCCCCCCCCCCCGACTCCTTCCTTGATTTTAATAACGATTCTGCATGAGACCTCTTTCCTGTGTTGTAGAAGAGCCTGTCTGGTAATGTTAGAAAATCGAGGATTTTTTAGCTTCAAAAAATCTATTATTAAAATACACCTATCTTTATATATATTTTTTTGATTTTAAAACTTCAGAGTTAAAAAAAGGACGCTTTAACAAAAGTTAAACAAGTAGCGGAGCGAGTATTAACAATTTTTCGGACCTTATCATCATCACTTGGTGCTTATATAATATTTGATCATACAAGCATCAAGTGAACACGTGGCGAGACGAGATATGATGAGTCTGAAAATTATGGGAGGAACGAATTCACGATTGCACTACTTGTCTAAAAAATTTTTTGTAATTCAGAATCTTAGATAAAAACTAATCTGAACCAATTTAGTTCCCTACAATGGACTCAGATTGAACACGTTTTACTATATTTGATGTTAAAAGAAAGGGGATTATGGATTTAATTTTTTTTCGAGATCAACTAAGTTTAAAAAGAAATTTAACGCTTTTTATCTAAAAAATAGTGTGCTTCAAAAAATAAAAACTTTTCACCGTGTTTTTAATTGTAAGTCTTTCTGATCGAAAATCATATGAAAAAATTAAAAAGTTTATATATTTTGTTTATTATGTCCCTAAAGAAGCCATCCCTCTTAAATCTGATGTCTTCAATTTTGTAAAATGTCAAGCGTATCAATTTCATTTCAAATATGCAAATAGTCATTTTATTTACGAATATATTTTTCAAACCTACAATTTAATGAGGGAATTCCACAAAAAAAATCGATCTCTGCTCATAAATTTAGGCCTAGTATGTGTGAAAAATGTGAGTTTCCTCATTATTTTTAAAACTGTTAAGAATAGCGAAATTGGGGGGGGGGAGGGGTGGCTATCTTTAAATACTTTTTAAATGTGTAAATTGTATGGGCCTAACGGGAGCTGAGTTGGTTTACTCAAGATGGCGGCACTAACTTAATAATAAAAAAATGGCGAAAGTCATATGATCTTATTATTATGGACCATAGCCATAGCAGCAATAGATTCGTATAATTTTAGCTAAATGGTTTTTTCTATAAAAAAAGATCATCTTCATATAATATGGTGCAAATTCTTTTAATAAAATTTATTTTTATTGAAAAAAAATGAAACATTTATAATATATTTTGTTTAGGTTACTCCCCAAAACCTGTCAAAAAATTTTTAAAATTTCACAAATATGTTTTAGCCATATTAACTATTAAAAAGTGCTTATTCGTTGTTTCCAATAATTTAGAAAATTTTCAAATTAAATTTTTATGTTTTGGCCACAGTCTTAAAAAAATACCACCACAACACAAACATAGAAAATATTTAAATAGCATAAAATAAATATAATCTTTGTGAATTTATAATTTAATCTATAAAATTTACATTATTACAAGAAGATTATAATAAATAATGTATTAAAAATTAATATTATGTAAAAATATTTATTTTATATAATTATAGAATATAAATATAATATCATTCTAATATTAGCATAAATAATATGCTAAATGAAATTATTATTTAAAATAGTAAATAAAAAAAAAATTCCATTAGCATAATATTCAATTAATATGACTTTTTAAATTTATGTTTTATTTTCAGATGTTGGTAACGAAAATAGATCATTTTCATTTGTTAGGTAAGCTAATCTTGTTAAGAACCATGTTTAACTAAAAAATGTTTAATATATTCAGAATGATGATTGATAATCAAATGAATGATTCCAAGATTCGCTATTTTGCTAAGGATTTTTTTTTCAAAAAAATCGATTTATAATTAACGAGTTTAATTTGTGTATAAGTCCTATTTTCTTCCTTGATCGATATAATATTTTTTTAATTAATAAACTGTTAATATATTTTTTATAAATAGAATTTCATTTATAAAAAATCGAAAATTATACATTATGACATTTTATACAGGCAAGCACAAATTTGTAAAAAATAATAAAAATCTTACTTTTTAAGCTTCTAAAAAAAATTGGAGTTTCTTAGAGCCACCGATTAGTAAATATAGAAATGACAATATTATTTTATAATCACACAAACTAAATATGTTGATGTCGGAGAAAGGAGAATAACTAAAATATGTGCTATCAAACTAAAACTAATTAATCTAAATTTCGTACATTTAATCTTTGGTGTGGAAATCAAGTTTTTAAGAAATTCAAGAAATGAATCAGGCATATAGCAAGTAATCCGAATGAGAGCTTTTAAATCTAAAGGAGATATCGAAATCTGTAGATCACAAAACTCCTCGGCGAGGTGATTTCTTAATTGTTAATGACTTATGGATTCTGGCGGGTATTAAATATCCTTTAACTAGACCTAGATATTCTAAGATAAACCAGACAAACCGAAAGTGGCCACTTTGATACCGTAAGATGGCCAATAAAACTTTACAAATAAACAATAGAAGATTTTTCCTGTCAAAGACTTCGAAATTATTAGATACAATGACAATGGGTTAATTTGGGATATTTCGCTTATAAAAATGCAACAGCTATAAAACCATAGTCGAACAAATGACCAGAGTTATAAATATCTAGCAAGGAGTATAGTATTTCAACGAGTCACCAAGAGTGATCTACGAATTTCATATCATTTTATAAATTTTTCTTTTCAATAACTATGTGGGCTTTTTTATAATATTTATTATTATGATACATTTTTTTAGTATCTTTTTCATTATGTCTAAACAGTATTCAGGCAAAATTTTGTATTTTTGTTAAGTGCTTTCGAGATATCCTTGATTATTGATAATTTTTAGTCAAACCAAAATTTTTTGAAATGCTCTGATTTCAATATGAAATGATTTATTTATGATAGGAATATATTTTTGATTTATTTAATGTTAAAATCATATTTAATTTAGAAGATTAAAATTTAGATTTTCGATGCTACTTTTTTTTACTGATTTTTGACAAATTGTATATAACTCTTATTGTATCATTTATTGGATAAAAATTTCAAATAATAATCATGCTAGATAGGAAGGCAATTTATTTAATATATAAAATTTAAATTACTTTTTAAAACTTTATATATGAGATTTTCAAAAACCCCGGGTTAGCAAATTTGGATTTTTTTAAACTTGGTTAATGGTTAGATCTCTGTCCAGGCTTAATATAATTCCAACAAAATCGAGAAAATTGAATCAAGTCAGCTAGTAAGGATCATAGATTCATACGATTTAAAAATATTTTGAATCGGGGAAAAAGAAACCTTGACGTAATTGATTTTTGAATGGTAATTTAAAATTCGATTTTTAAAAATTCGCTAATTACTGTTTTTATTTATTGACTGAAAAACTGATTGATGAATTAGCAACTACTAATCAGACATTACATATTGTTTATTATAATTTTCTCTCTAGTTTTTCTTTAAACTATCTATCAAACTGGTTGAAGCAATGAAAAAATATATACGTACTACTAATTATTGACATAAATTTCAGAGATAATGCTTCCTGATGTTTGGCTGATTTACGCTTAAGACGAGACATCATAGTTTCTATTTGGTTCGTCATTCGGTTACTTTTTTTGTCATTGGCGAATCTGATTAAAGAATTAATAAGTAAGGCTCTATATATTAACCAAACCAGATAGTTAAAACTTCTGTATTCTCCGTTCTGGCAAGATGCTAATTTTGACAATTTTTTATTTTTGTCAATAATTCTTTTATCCTTTAAACCATCTTTCAGGTAGAATAGATCAATAAAATGCACCAATAAAGCCCTAATTAATGATTTGGTATAAGTGTTAGAATTAGTGTTACCAAAAGCTTGACATCGTAATTGATATTTATTGAAATCGACATTTGTACAATTTCTCAGAATTCAAAAGTTCTCTTTCCATGTTCCACTACAATAACTCATGCAGCATATGTAAATATAATTAATTCTTCAAACCATTTTATTGCAATGCTTTTATATACCTGCCAAAAAAAATGAAAAGTTTAAAAAATATAAAATCAATACCAAAAAGTGTCCATCTCACATCCCCTTAAATTTAAATAAAGTCATATCTATTGTGACAGAAAGGGTGTTGAAATCTATCGCGGCAAATTATAACAAGCCGTTTTTTGTATTAAGGCTGATGAGATAAGCGTTAGGTTGTGAGAGTTTAAGTTTATTATTTACAATATTTTTGTTGAAAAAGCTAAGAGAATTTAATATAGTGGAGTAGCAACGGGGGTGGTTTTGGGGTTTGAATTACTCCAAGAGCAAAAAAATATTAAGCTTGTTGAATATGAATAATAGTTTTCTAATGTTTATATTTCTGGAGAGATATCATTATTGATTTATATAAATTATTTAACATTAATATACTATTAAAAAAATGCGCATTAAAGATAATTTAATGGCTTTCTTCACTTGAGGGATATAGTTAAACTATTAGTAGATTTTATTAAAAAAACTTCTAATACTGTTAGGTATAGATCTAAAAGATTCACTGACTATAATTATAACCTTGTATTTTTTTTTGATTCATTGGCACCTCCCTGCCCCAAATTATTAAAAAACCAAATTCAAATAATTTGAATCGAATACACATATGAAATTTTATTATTCTTAGTGAATACCGATGGTAAATTATTCGGTTTGTACAAAGATGTCAAATAACGAATAATGCACAAATTCGATTCGAACTCGTTTTGAATCTTACATCTTGGTATGTATGAGAAAATAAAACTAATTTTATTGGGCTTGAGATGGATCAGGGGTCTTTAGTAATTTGAAAATTTTTTTTTACCTTTATACATTTTTTTACGATATAATTAAAATAAAATATAATAAAATTTGAATAATCTTATTATTAATATCGATTATTGTAGATGTTAAAATAATATCTGAAAATGATCTTTTTCTTTTATTTGAAGTTTCTAACGTGACATAGTTTTAATTTTGTTTATAACTCCGTTTCATTTAGTAGATCTACTTCGGATTGAGGAATACTATCAGGCACTAATATTATAGTGCAAACAAATTGAGCGTTTCAAACGCTGCATTGCAAGCGCCAATAATGCCTTTAGCCTCTTGCAAATTGGTAAAATTACTGTTTGGCGTTAGCAACCATTTAAAAATACGCAAACAGATTTACTTTTTCCATTCTTCGTCTTGTAATATTAAATAAAATGTAATATAAATAATTTACTTATTTCCTAAAAAGGGATATTTAGAAATTTAAGAAATAAGAACGGTAGACGATAATATAATTTTCAAAGACAAATCCTTTTTTTTAGAAGTTATTTAAAATTTTTAATCGACTGATATTAATAAAGACAACCTCAATTTAAACAAGGAACGCTTAAATTTTTTTTATTAAAAATTATGGTAAAACGTAAACGCTCATTTTGTGCGCACTATTAGCGTACGCCAGATATATGTTATTTTTTATAATTCCATACTAGCAGTAGCATGTAGATCTTCATACTGTCTGCAGATTAAATTACTATGCAACCAAGCACTAAACATTGATTTAATTTTTAGAATAATTATTTTGGTCATTTTTTAATTGTAAGGGTCAAAATTTTGTTACTAGCTAAGATCAGACACTAATAAAGAGTAATACATTGACTAATTAAACATTAGTGCTTCCAATTATTCTACTATAAGGAGATGATATAGGGATACGGAAAAATCAGTAATATATAGCCGGTAAACCGGGGTTTGGGGACAAAGGCCACAATCACATCTCTTCCCTTCTCGGATAAATCATAGCTAAGTCACATTGAATCAAATAAATATTTTAATTTTAGTATTAAAAAAATATATATATAATAACATCAATTTTTAAATAAAATAACAAGCGCTAAAAAAATTCAATCTTGACTGTAACAATCATATAACATATTAATTTATATAAATAGTTATTTTATAACATTTAATCTTGATTACGACCATATCACGTTGAAAGCACCGGTTCCCTTTCGAACACCGAAGTTAAGCAACGTTGAGCCTGGTTAGTACTTGGATGGGTGACCGCCTGGGAATCCCAGGTGTCGTAATCTTTTAATTTATAGTTTTGTTTATTTCTTTTATTAAATACTAATTGATGCTCTTTATAATTTTATTTGATAGTTAAAATAATATAGGTACATTTTTTAATTATTTTTGACTCTAATGCTACATATTATATAGTTCTTATGTCAAATTTGATTATATTTTATAGTTGAATTAAATTATCATAGGACACACTCACAATATTTATATAATATTATTGAAAATATATAATTAATATTTTAAATTGTTATATCCATCCAAAGTATAGATTATAAATGTTTAGCAATGTAATATTAATCAGATACCTTCAGGTTTGTCCTGACCCCTTGCAAATGGTACCTCGGCAGGTCTCTGATATTAATTTACCATAGGCATCAATTTTATCAGGCCTTTGGCTATATTACAATTTTTAAATAATAGTCTTGATTTTTCACTTTTTTTTATAAAAATGTTTCATTCTTCTAAAAATTTTGAATTAAGAGTCATTATTTTAAAAAATTATTAACTGATGGTTATTTTTCTTTCCACTTATAGTTTACAGTGATATATTATAAATATTTTCGGGTTAGGGAGAGTGAAATTTTTTATTAACTCAAAAATAATATTAGAAAAAGGCAAATTTCGGAAGGACACCTCTCCTGACTATGCCTATTGCTTAATTATCTATATTATAATTTTCCGATGTCCTCACTACGTCATCGTGACGTCATGTTATCGCTACGTCATGTCATCGTTACGTCATGTCATCGGTACGTATTTATTTATTTTTTATTTGTTGATTTTATTTATTTATTTTATACAAACAGATGATCCTATAACTTAAATTTTCTATGCAACTGTAGGAGTCCATATTAAAACCAAAAAGTAATCCATTATTTACTAATGTTGATTTTATTTATTTATTTTATACAAACAGATGATCCTATAACTTAAATTAACTGAGTTAATTCAATAAATTTAATATCTCTAGGCTTGGGAAAATTTTTTCAAAATTATTACGGTTGGACTGGGCTTAAAAAATATTTTTCAAAATTAATATTTTCAAAATTAATATTGGCTTGGTTTTCAAAAATTATTAGGGATTGAAATGGGCTTGAGAAAATCTTTTTAAATTATTAAGATCTTGGATGCTTGGAAATTTCCAAATATTGTAGGCTTGAATCTATATTGGGATTTTTTAATGTTAAATGTTAGTCTTATGTTATTATTTTTATAAAGTAATATATTTTACCCGTAGACTAATTGGTAAATCAGAGACTTCCCTTTCATTAATTATTAATTTAATATCTCTGGGCTTGTTTTCAAAATTATTAGGGATTGAGGTGGGCTTGAGAAAATCTTTTTAAATTATTAAGATCCTGGATGCTTGGTTTCCAGTCCAGATATTGTAGGCTTGAACCTAGATTAGGATTTTTTAATGTTAAATGTTAGTCTTATGTAAATATTTTTATAAAATATATATAACTCAAAGAATAGTTTTCAGTAACATACAAAATGTAGAGTGATTATTATGCTATGCCGAAAATATATGTATCCCTACTAAAGATATCACTAACATTCATTATTTTAACAACAGTCTCAAATAATATGGGAAAAATCAAAATTTAAAAAATACAAAAATTCTCTTTTCCTTTCTTTCCCTTTTAATTTCTTTTATTATCTTCCCATTTCTCATCATTTCCCTTTCCTATCTTCACTTTTTAATTTTCTTTACCTTCCTTTCCCTTTTAATTTCCCTTTTCTTTCCATTTAATCTTATCTTATTTCCCTACCTCAGGCTACACAATCCAGCCGAAAGCTGGTTATCAAAAAATAAATATCATTCAATTCTCAATTTAACTGATATTCAAGCATAAAAATTAAACTATCTCAAAAATTTTCAAAATTATAATGGGTAGGACTGGGCTTGGAACCTCAAAATTAATATTAGCTTGCACCTGACTTGGGAATATCTTCTACAAATTATTAAGGGCTGAGCTGGGCTTGATAAACTTTTTTATTATAAGATCTTGGATGCTTCCTAATATTGTGAGCTTGAACCTGGCATGACATCTATCGTAAAAAATAAAGAAAAATCTCATTCCCCGTCATTTTTGACAGGCTTTCTACTTGTAATATATTATATTTGAACTATGTAAAAGCTTTCAAATTGGATTTTTTTATTTGAGTTAGATTTTACCTTTGTGTTGATATTATTTTGATTTGCGAAAACGTTTTTGTAATTACTAATAGTTGAAATATTAATCTTTAGACAAACCCAGACTGAAGGTTTAGATAAACGTGCCAAAGGGAGGTATGGGATGGAAGCCTCCCATCATTTATATATGAATAGTTTAATAGACACTTTTCTTTAAAAAATTTGGCATCTTTTAGTACCCACATTTTTCAGAAAGCTTAGATCACAACGGTGAAGATACATTGGAGAAAGTAACATGGTTACCTGTGAGTGCTACAGGGATAGACGAATAGTAATTTTTTTTATAAATAAAAGCCGAAGTGGGAGGGCTATAATAGAAGGGGAATGTTCGGAGAGCAGAAAAAGATAATGCGTAATAGTTTGGTTGATTGATTGATGCATGGATAATAAAATGTGGTATGGTATATTATAAATGCTATAATGACATATCCGTAAAGTTTAGGTATATTAAATGTTTTGAGTGGCAAGTTTTTAAATTTCGACGTTTTATCCTAATAAGAATAATACAATGTGCTATGAGTCAATACCAGGTTATTATAATTTATGGAAAATTTTTTTTTGCTTAGGCTATATTTATATATTTTATAAGAATGAAAATTATTTTATAAATAAAAAAGCGATATATTTAAAATCAAAGAAGATAAAAAAAATCTATTATTATATATTCACTCCAATTACTATATTTAAAAAGACATTGCCCTCATACTTAAAATTTATTAACTATTAAATCATAAAATAAAGGTGTTTTGAATGAATCGAAAGATTTCTGTTTCTCTGTAAGAAAACGTAGAAAAGCAATTAAAATATATTAAAGAAACTTTCTCGGGAACTAAAAATAGTTAACCTTAATATTATTCATTTGTAAATAAAAAATTTTTCCCAATTGTAAAGTATTTATGTTAAAGTCAAATCACATAATCAATGGTGCATTTCTTTGTTTTAATCTGGAAAAATTTCTTAGAGGAATATTTGATTATCACATGTATTACTGGTAATTTTAATAGTTTTCGTTTGTGGTAGATTGATGGGCTAAATAACAGTAATATATCCCTTTGATCGGGATTTTATAGAAAATATTAAAAAAGAGATAACTAATAATAAGGAGATAGAGAATAGTGAAAGGATAGGGGAAATTATATGTTATAATTGTGGTCAAGGGGGATCTCACAAATGTATGGTAATACACCGAATTTAAATTGTGTAAGGTGTGGTCGAGGGGGGTTGGAAATAAATTGTAGAGCCACAAGATGCAATAAGTTAATAAATTTGGACATTTAAAAGATAAATGTTTTGTAAAAACGAATAAGTGACTTGATAAATTAAATTAAAAGTTATAGATTATTAAGTAGTGGTATAGATAATAAATTGTTGATAGTTAATAATAAATTTATTAGTAGCGATAATTTAAAATTTTGCGATTTTTTGAGGAGCTAGAAGATGTGTCCTAAAGTTGAGGTCATGTTATTAGGATGTAGAGTTGAATTTTGTTAGATACGGGTTAAGTAATCAATGTCATTAGTGTCAAGCCAATCAATAAGATTTGGCCGGGGCATAGATTTACAAAGGAAAAGATGAAGGTGACTCAGTTTGATGGCTCTATGATAATAATTTTGGGATTTTATGTAATAAAATTACCAGGTATTTCCCTCTTCCTCCCTATCCCTACGATTTTTAATGTTTATTGTTAAGTAGTTGTAATTTTTTTATTAATTATAATTCACCTTTTTAAACTATTGTTTTAATTTGGTAATGACATTCAAAATTTAAATTATTTTTCTTTTTTTTGAACTACACTAATTCTAATTGTGTATGACATTTAGTTACAAAATTTATTATAAAAAGATCGAATTTCTATCATTGATTTTCAGTCAAAATTAAATTGATTCGAAACAAAAAAATAATTCTCGTATTTATCGTAAATTTAGTTATAGTTTCCGTTGATCTTCAAAGTCTAACAAAGTCAGGTGTAGATGCAAAAGTCATCAAAGTTGATTAAAATATTTTAAGAAATATTGACTTCATCTTTTTAAAAGATAATGTTTAAATTTTATTATATATTAATTCACAGTCCATTTTCAATAACATATTTTTAATTATTGAACTTTATAATGTTCTATTAATTTTATAAATAATACAATAATTAGAATGTTTTTTTAAAATTAATAATATAATAAATACTAATTTATTAAATAAACCCTACTCAAATGTAACAGGTATTGCTTTACATCCAGACCTTGAATCTATAACAATGGTGCCCAACGTGAATGAGTCTACTTATCCCTGAACACGCTATTAACTCGTTATTTCTATCAATATATATTATAATATCGGATTTGGCTGTTTGTTTACATGTTCAATGTATTATTAGCATTATGCTTAAAGTTTCACACATGCATTAGAAATGCCAGTTGCAGCTGATAATTCCAGGCTCTTAAGTTATGAAGACGCCTTGAATTCAATCGATTATATTGGCAAAGAAGAGCAAAAAATAAAAAATAACGATTCCGATCACCCTAAAAATGAAATCGATAAAAAATTTATTATAACTACTGTAAGTCAAAGTTTGCTAGACAATTATTATCTTTCTAAAAATTTAAATAATGAGGCTATAGAGAAGTAATGATAATTGATAATAAACGATCTAAGAAATATATTATATTAGGAAAAATATATCAGGACGAAAACTAATACTTTATGATAATATTGAATATTCAAATCCCCATAACTATTTAAAAGGGTGTAAATGGTAATCATTTAATTTATATTACATTATATTGATATATCAAGGGCTCCAGACGGATCATGCATAGTTACCAACTGTGAGGAAAGGGAATTAAACATTTACAATTTGCCTTCAGAAATTTGGGATGGGAATTATTCATCCAAACAAATTGTAAATAACTGTATTTTTTATGGAATAAAAATTATTCCAATTTTACATAAAATTTAGGCATCAGTGATAAAAATTAAAGAAGTTGATGCAATATTTGACTATTGTTGGAATCCATTAATGAATTCCTGGGATCAGCAAACTTGCTTGTAAAAATTTAAATATATTTATATATTTAACACATTAGTTTAAACAAACTTTACTTTAATTAAACTATATTATAAATTAAAGTATTGCCTCAACATGTAGAGATAGTCCTATTCATTTATGGGATGCTAATACTGGATCTTTACTCAATACTTACAAAGCTTATTCACAAAATGTGATATACATTACTTAATAATACCCTAGTCTTATTTAAATATATCTTAGGAGGAATTGTTGACATGCTGCAGCTTAGCCTTTAATAGTTATGGAACTAAGTTATTTGCTGGTTACAATAAGCATATTAGAATATTTGATACACACAATCCATTCAGCAAATATGAAACTATAAAAACCCATAGTAAATTTATATATTAATTTTTTTTTAAAAAATATATCATATCGTATTAAGACAAATTATATGCTTCAAAAGGCCAGCATGGTTTGATCTCTTGTTTTGCTATGAGTCCTTTTCACCCTAACCTCTTTGCAGTAGGCTCCTACACTAGCTCAAGTTTGGCATTTAAATAGATTTGAATATTGATATTAGATGAAATAAAAAAAATTATGCCTATAGCAAAGCCTAGCACAAAAAGGCTTCCTATGTCGGGCCATCTTTTTAAAAAAAATTGATTTGGGTTGGGGCTAGTATTTTAAAAAAAATTTGGGCCAGTACATTTTTAAATTAAATTCAATTTTGTTAAATAAATTGATATTTTTTCAAATTTTTGCAAGAAATATGGTAGAGGTCTGCAAATGGGCAGAATTTTCAGGCTCAACCAGGCCCAGTGGGAATTTCACTTACCTGGCCCTGCCCAAAAAATTTTCTGCCCAATTAGGCCCAGTTTCAATTTTTCACTAAGTTTGCCCTTCCTGGCTCAGTTTTTAATTATTTTTTTAAATGCAAGGCCTCTAAACCAAAATAGTTGTTCTTGAACACCAAGATAAACAATTATTTATAATTTGGGGAGTGGTTAAATTAAAAATGCTATACTATATGGATTTTATTACTTCTATTGAGATGTCATAATTCATCAAAAAAAAAATTATTAATTAATTTATTAAAAATTTCTATCAAAATATTTATATATTTTTTAAAAAAATCCAAACTTTACCTGGCCCCACCTGGAAATATTTTTGCCTAGGGGACCCATTAAAAAAAATTTCAGATGTTATTGCAGATCTCTAAAACAATATGCCAATATTTATTATTTTTTAGGATATTAATTGTATAAAAAAACCAATTAAATTTTTATATATTTAAATAAATATGGGCTAGGCAGACAAATAATTAATTATGGACTTAAATAAAATTGTGTTAGCCGTGTTTAAAAATAGGCTCAAATATAGCCATTTAACAACACTAGTCAATATTAGACATGTGAATCGCCGAAACTATCGGCGGCCGGCTCACTTTTCAAAAATCTCATCGGCAGATAAACTTTTTATAACATATATTTTTTTAATTGCTAATTAATTTTTTGAAAAAATTTAATTAAATTATACACTACGATACAGATATCTCGGCATATTTTTAGATCGTTATTGAAGAGAAAACTCATTTTTGTAATTTTATAATTATCATATATAAAGTTAATTTTATTTAAATTTTTCGGACATGATGATGATTTTCTTGAATTAAACGCCAACCCAGCGGTAGAGAAAACTCTTTCACTAATTGTGTCAGTTGCGGAACACTAAGAATTTTTTTAGCTAGCGTGGTAAGATTATGAAGTTCGATCCTCTTTTCTCTCCTGAATTAGAACAATCAAATTTTGTGAGTGTCCTTTTCCGATATAAATACATTCTTGTTCTAAATCACTTAAAGTGGAATCATAATTTGTACTTTTTGCTGGAGATTTAGTTGCAAATTTTGTTAAATAATTTGAATTTAATATTTCCTCTTGATTCTCAATCGCTATATTTACTATACTACCCTAATATCGCCATACTTTAAACGTTTAAAATGTTTTATAATGAATTCCAACGCTGAATGATTTTGTTCTAATATATACTTGGACACAATTTTCAATTTTAGAGATCTTGGATCTAGAAGACAAGCCAACCCCTAGATTATTTTTGAAATAAATTAAATAAATAAACATACTTTATATTATTATTTGCAGATCACAAACCGGAAATCGTAACGCAAGTTTTAGGCATATTTTCCTTTAGGAAAATGATTTCTGAGCTATCATATTATTAAATTTGCTTCAATTTCACTCCTAAAAAGTTATGCTAAGTTTAAGGTAAGTCTATTGATGTGCAGATAAAAATTCAACTGTTTATTTAAATCCTGAAAGAAACGCTATTATTTCTACTATATCTGGTTCATAGTTTGATAGCTTGAGATAGTGTTTCCAAATTCTTTTCAAAATGTTATTATTATTTGCTCCGGATATGCTTTCAAGCATAATTAATATACTACGCACCTGGTTGGGACAATTTAACATTTTCATATGAGTGCCATTATTGTTATTTCATAATTGGAATCGCCAATTTGAAAACGGGTATCAGGGTATGGATCAGTGCTATCAATATCTACCATATCTGATGTTAGATCTATTGTAATTAGGCATTTTCTTTGATCTGCCTCGAATTCGAATTCAATCTCTGCTGTTTTATATATTAGAGCATTAATAATTTCTCTTATTCTTTGATAAGATTTTCAACAAAAGACATTTAATACCATCCAAACCAGATTATGTAAACCATGACCCAATCATAAGTGGTGTTCATATTCATCTAATCAAACACCCGTTCTAACATTGGGTCTCCATTTTAAAAATATATAAAATTATGGTAACTTAAAAATTTTGATTGATTGAATTTTAAAATGATGTCAAAATAATTATGATTTTAAAATGGGTATAAAATAAGAATTCATCAAAATCCCTCTGATATAAAAAGAATTTAAGAACAGTGATGTTGACCAATTATTAATATAAAAAATGCACAAGATAAGGAAATTATTTTTTAATGATTTTCGTAAACGGCGGTGTCTTCGTCTTGGCCATAAATATCAGCGGCCGACCGGCATACAGGTCTAATCAATATTATATTTTTTTTAAAAATATATATTTATAATATATCTATCTATACTTATATAAAGTTGGCATATACGCTAGACCCGATAATTCGTTAGTTTCTTTATTACACGGAGCTCAAGGTGGTATTACTCATCTCATATTTTCCAAAGATGGTTCAAAATTATATTCTGGGGGCAGGAAAGTTTATTTATTTTTTTATTCATATTCTAGTTTCATAATGAATAATCAGATTAATTTAAAAACGAAGTTGATAGATATTAAGTTTTTTTATTAGCAATTTCAATTTAGAGAATAATTTTTTTTAAAGATATCAAGTCATCACATACTACAGGAAAAATGATTGATTAGTGTTGTCAAAAAGCCCGATAAGATTATAAACAAAATAACACTATATAAGCCTAAAGATTTTGCTCATGGCTGGCAGAAATGCTTCGACATCTATTTGCCAAATCGCGATGCTTACATAATATTTTAGTTAGGGACCTTTTTGAAAAATCGACCCAAATCAGGCTTTTTAACAACATCAGATCAAATCATATATATTTTTTTTATTTTACCAGTGATTGAAATCATAGGCCCAGAATTTTCCTATAGAGGGGACTTTTCTATTAGGTGTTGAAGGTTTTCGCCATAAATGTTATTTGGAGCCTTTTGGTATATCTATTGTAGACCTTTTGGCTATGTTATATTTTTATAATTATTAATTTGGGGTTTCATTTTTTTTTATATAAAAATGTTTTTTTCTAAAAAAATTTTAATTATAGTGGTTATTTTAAAAAATTATTTATAACTTATACTTAATTTTTCTTTCAAATTATTATTTATTGTATACATTTTTGGAGTTAAGGGGAGAGGGGAGAGTAAAGATAAAAAATTTTGTTACGAGAACAAGTCTAATTTCCTACCCCCTTAGTTACGCCTATGTCATAAATATTAGACACCTTCAGAGGTCGAGTATTCAGTTACCCCCCCCCCCTCTTTCCACATTTTAAACCTGTCAGATTTTTTAAAAATAATTTTTAGGCCTGACCTTTTTATTTTTTTTAAGCCTTGTTTGTCATGGATTTTTTAAAATTTTGTTGTCTAAAAATTTATATGCAACTCAGTAAATAAATTTTTTCCCAGCCCCAGTTTTGTAAAAAAAAAGGAGTGTTTATAATTTTTTTTTAAATTATACTAACAGGTATAAAGAAAGAAGGAAAGAAATTTTCTGTTCTGGCCTGCAGATCTTTGATAAATATATTAGACGATTTTTTTTTAGTATTAATCAGTATTTTATTCGAATATAATTATATTTTTTTTACTATCATATTTTATGATTATAAAAAATATTTTTTGAATAGGATCCTTGCATAACTTGCTGGGATTTGAGAAATATGGGAAAAGTGTGTCAAACCTATTGCCGACCCGTAAATAACAACCAACGAGTTTATTTTGATATAGACAGCCAACTCAAATATCTGGTTAGTGGTCTTATGAACGGACACGTTAAATTTTGGGATATATCACCCGGAAGTGAAAAAAAGGAAGATATTTTGTTAGATTTCAAGGCACATACGGATTGCGTTAACGGTGTCAGGTTTAAAAAAATAGTTTTCCTAGTGATACTTTTAGTATCTTTTTTTTAAAATTCTTTTCTCTCTAATTAAATGTATTCATTTTTATATTAACATTGTTTTAATTTTTGACAATATATTTGTTGGTTAGCTGAATATATTATCATCTGATTTAATAAATTCATTATCTTTTGTTTGTTGTAGTTATTTATAAATAGTAAAATCTTTTTTCGTAAATTATTGATTAGCAAGAAGTGCCTATATCACTTTTTTACTCAAAGGGATATATTGGCCCTATCCTATAATTCTCTATATCCAATTCTATTTTGGAAAAATGGTATTAAGATTTGGGTTTAACCAAACAAATTTTATATCAATGTGTAGCCTAATTATTAATCTTTAAAATAAAATTAGAATCAAAGCTCTATCTTTAATAGTTTATGAGCTAGACGAGGTTATGTGAAAGTTATTTTTCTGGCCAGTCAATACACCGTATGTATTGATTGGCCATATGCGTGTCAACTGGCCATAATATATTACTTAAGAATTTTATTATAAATATAAAATAATACAATAAGAAATACTTGTAAAAGACTTATGTTAATATTTCTACATTTTTTAATTATACACTAATTTAATTAGTATTAATATCACAATTTATCATCATCTATTCTATTTAATGATAATATTATTATCTTTTTGCTAAACATTCTTAAGTTTGTTTATCATTTGAAATTTCACCAAATGTTGTTTTGCACGAGCATTTATTTCAATATGAATATATGAATGTGCGAATTTTGGCCAATCAATATATGGCCAGACAATACCATATGTCTATTAAATAAAACTTTTAAAGTCTAATTTTTTGTGTGAATAATGCTAAATGCCTAAGGATAATATTTATATTTAATATCAGTAATCTAAATTAGTAATTTTTTCACCAAACAAAATATATGTGAAGCGTGATTTTTCCAGAAAGAGGTACTAAAAACAGTTTATTTAAAATATTTTTTATTGGATTGCTCTATTCAATAAATAAACTTAGGTAAAGTAAATATCATAAATATACACATTTTGACCTATTTTGAGAGAAATTGGTCCAATAGATAAAAAGTTAAAGGGTGGTGGCCAGTCTTCAAACATGGCCATTTATGGCACATTTTTCCTATATATATTTTTCAAAAAATCCATATTCTTTAAGCACTGGCCCAAGATTTAAATATCAAATGAAAAACTGAAATATTTGTAATTGTTTACATAATTATAATATTAAAAAATTATTAATTTTATATTTTGAATTAATTATTAATGGAATTTTTAAATGGGTACATTTTTAATAAAAAAAGAATTTTCAATATTATCATCAAGGCGATTTTTTTTAGCGGTATTAATTTCCCCAGTTATATTTATTGAATGATCCTTTTGATGTTGTCAGCTGGCATTGCTATGTAATGTCTAGCTAATACCCCCTAGAGTCGGGATCTAATTTTATTAAACTGGCAAAAATAATTTTAAAAAACTATGAGCCTTCTGATATATCTATTTAAAAGAGTATTTTGCTCTACTTCAAATTCAATTTCATTTGCAATCGATTAGTTGTTAAACTACCAACATCTGCAAATATTTAAATTTATTTCAATATATTATTTTATTTTTTTGTAATTTATGATATAGTATCCACCCCTCGTTAGCTCTACTAGCCACATCAAGCGGTAGAAGGCACATATCATGTCAATCTCTCACGCGAAAATCGAAACCTTTAAATAATAAGGATGAATTATTAAATTCATCCAACGATTCAACAGATACCGACGACACATTATCAGAAATGGAAGATGGTGCAATAGATTTCAACTTTATCGAAGATGAGAATAGAAATTGTTTTAAAATTTGGAATGTTTCTTTGCTCAATTCGGATAATGAATAGTCTAATATATTATACCTTCTATTGTACACATAACGTAGTATTATATTACGGCTGATATTTTGTAAATAAAGTTATGTAAATATTCGTGATTGTTTAATTTAAATTCTATACTTTAAAATATTCGTTGAACTAGATTAAAAGATGACTATTTTAACAGATTTAAGAGCACTGTAAAATCTCTCTAATTTTGACACCGCTGAGACTAAGATATTTGCCCAATTTATGTAGGCATTTTAGTTAACAAAAATTTTGATTGGGGCTCGAAATTTTGGTCAAATTAAGGAGTTACCCGAATTATTAGGAGCCCAAATCATACAGGTTTTACTGTATATATTTCAGAGAGCTGCAGGGGTATCATTTGCACTGCACGGCCCGGATATTAAAATAAAATATTTCAGCCTGGCCCGGATTTTTAATCTGTATATCTATTTTAAAATATACAGCTCCGTCCGGGTATTTTAAAATAAACATTTAGGCCCAGCCCGGTCAGGGTTTATTTTAAAAAAATTAAAATCTTTATCCAACGATGGTAAAGTTGTCTTTGTTCATTAATTTTTTGAGTTATAAATCATCTATTTCTTAATTATTTTAAAAGGTTCAGGTTTTTTTATCTTTAACAGTGATTTCTGGCTTCAGACTTTGGATTTTTCAACTTTTATAGTTTTCCACGCTTTATTTATATGTATTTTTCGTTATTACCTTTTCCTTTTTTTTTAAAATTCAGAAGAAAAATAATAACTTTAAAAAAAATATTCATACCAAAAAGAGTAAAAATAAAATTCAAAACTAAAAGGTCAAATTTAATCTTTTTTTTCACGTCTTATATATTTGTGAAAAATAAATAAACAAAAATAATTAAAATATATATCAAATTAATAATATAAAAGTTTTATACAAATTTTTTTTTTTATGAGGAATAGACAATTTAACACAAAAAAAACGACATACATAATATTAATAAAACCCTATTACAAATTGATCCTAGGTCTAGATTTCTTTTAAGTCATTTTATTACTGATATCGATATTCCTGACCTTTATATATCTTGCGAAAAAATGTCTCATTTTATTTTTCAAAAATTAGGCGCATAATATTCCATTTTATCTTGAAAAGTAATATACTTGTCACACGTAAAGTCTTAAATTTTACCGATTTGAAATGATACTTTAATAGTTGGAATTGATATTTTTTATAATTTATAAGGTAAAATGCTAATTATAATAAGCCAACATTTTGAATTCCATAAAAATTTACCAAATATATAACCCTGCCCCCCTCCCCACACAATTTATTTTGTAATGTGATAGTGTATAAATTATATACTATAGCTAAGAAATCTATTGGTTTGGTATAAACTTCAAAATTAATGTTTCCATAGGGTTCAATTCACATTTAAAGCGTGATAAATTTAGATTTCCCTTTGTTTATAACTCGGTTTATTTTTTGGTAGTTGGCAAAGTTAATTGAGGAATTGATAAGTACTAATCGGCCCTAAATATGTACGGCAAACCAGATATTTACATCAATATTTCTCATTCTGACATGATTCCAATTTTGCCAAATTTTCTAATACCGCTAGTGCATCTTTTTTAATACGTCAAAAGATTATAATTACTAATTAAGCCGGTAAACATGGATAAAATTTTCAAAGTAAATGCTTTCAGTTGATTTTTAATCTTATGGTTGATCAAAATATTGTTGCGAATAAATTTGGCTACTAAACTACTTAAAGTAGAACAAAATATTGTCCCTAATTTTAGAATAGTTATTACAATTACTCGGCCAACTTTACGGAGATGACAAAAACATATTGCATATCTAAAAAGAAATAAATTAAAATAATCACAGGTATGCAAAGAAATATTTTGAACAAAAATACCTAATTTGAAAACTTCTATAAGCGGGAACCGGCCGAAGGTCTGGCAAAAGGGTGTTTGGGGACGAAGCCATCATAAATATTGTTTAGATAATTCCTGGCTACTACATCGCTAACTCAACTTACTACAAGGACCATTAAAATATTGGGGAGGGGGAGTTTATTTATAACAAAATTGACCTTATTTTATTTGAGATAATTAAGCCCATCTGTTTTATTATCGCTCCTAGTGTTGTTAATTGACGGGTTGCATAAAACCCTATCTTGGGTCTAAGAATCGACTAAAACAGCTCTGAGCACAAAATTGGGTCTTAAATTTTGCGACCAAGCAAATTAACAACATTAATCACTCCGATGTCTTTAACATAATTATATATTACATAAATATTTTATTCATACCTTCCCTCAGAAGCATTAGAAAAATTATTCACTTTTTCTAGATTGAAAAATATATTTAAAACATGATATTTTTTTTTGAGATGCCAACGAAATTAAAAAATCTAAAGGTGAAACCTGTCACTAGGTATGGCTATTGGTGGCTCAACACCCCCTTCTCCAAAAATTTAAAATAGTTTTTTTTTAAGCAATTTTAGATTTTTAACCCCGGTAAATTAAAAAACAGGGGGGTATCTAAATTTTAAATTTGCATTTTTATTCTGCCATATTTCAAAAACAAAAAAAAATATGTATTTTTATAGCATTGTATTTAGTGAATTAAAGTATTACTTAGAGCGAGATGAATCAAATGCATTTATTTTTTTACTTCTTTTTTTTTTAACTTAACGACATACATTTTTTAACAGAATATTTCTTGCCAATCTCTAGATTGATATGTATGAAGTTGAAAGGAGTGAAATACTTTATTAATAGTTTACAAAAATGCTTCGCGAAATAATAATATATTGAGAATATGAGATATAAATGTCGTTATAAATACGATATGATGATATATAAGGACATTAGGTTGAAAAAGCATCAAAATAATTGACGTGATATAAATAAAATTTGTTGAAATGTGTATCAATTTAAATAAACTATAGGACTCGAACGACCGCAATAAAATATTTTTCGAATTGATGAACCAAGATAACAGGTGATTAGGTTTAATCGAGCAATCAATTGAACTACGAATTCTATGTCCAAAATTAATGTCGCGTTCAAAAAAGGTCGGCATCAGATTTTTTAAGTGAGCTTTATCTAACTTGATATAATAAATGTGTAACATTATAGTTTCGTTAATCGCCAAAATATAAATAGTTATTGTAAACAAAAATGGAATGAGGTTTGATAGGAATATATCGACAAAACTCTGTATATTTTGGAGGTAATTACTATGATGACAAACGTAAATTAGTTGCCTATTAGAATAATATTTGTACAATTTACTCAATAAGTTGAAGGGCGTATTACAAACCATCAATATCATCAGGAGCGCGACGAGTATGGGTCTTATCTTAGCTTCAGAACTGATCGTTATAATCATATTGTGCATAGTACTGCCAGAGGGAATGGCATGTTTAAATCTGATCAGTATTATAAGGTATTTGGCGTAATTGGAGAAACCTATAACCGTAGATAATATAAAATAGTAAAACTTGCACGTGTACACGTTTTTGTTTCTATAGGAAAAAAAATTCGCTCCCAAGGAATCCTGTTTTATCAGAAAACAAAAATTGTGAATAAAATCGCAGGTGATGGATATGATTACTAGAGTTACGATATTATATTTGGCCTCGTCATTAAAGACTCCGCGTTGCAAAGCAATTCTCCCTCGAGTCAATAATTCTTTCTTCGTTAACAAATTCGATAGGAAACGGTAAATTATGGCGATTAGTAATAATAGATTAATGAGCGTACCTATAAAGGCGTTCAATGCTTGTAATAGGTCTAAATTTTTCCATATCATTTCTTTCCCCTTAATATAATGGGTAGAAATTTGGAATAATGTCAAAAGTATAATTATACTAAAAAAAAAATTATACACAATAAAAAATGTCCCGACTTATTAAAAATTAAAAAATCGATTACCTTCCAAATTTATACTAAAATATATATATTTATTTTATTTTTTTTTCACATTATTTAAAATGACGATGAAGTCTGCTAAATCTATTATTAATAAAGTCTATTCGAAAATATTTTTAGTATTAATATAATATATCATGAATATAATTTACAAATTAATTAAATATTAATTTATTTTATTTAAAAATATAAAATAAAAATGTATATATAGTTCTAGACAAAAATATTTGATTCAACGGCAATATTTATCGTACATTTTATGAGGTAAGACCCGGGTAAAAGTCCGATACCAAAATAATATTGAGTGAGCCTGATGATTTTGCTCATATAATTTTTTTGGCTAAAATCGTAATAAGGCCGTTTTTAAAAATCAATCAAAATCAGGCCTTTTAACAACACTAGACGCGGGCCTATTTTTATTCATGGCCCGCTCACTCTAGTTTGGTTAAAAAAAAATTGTCGGATTATGTTAAAAATTAGTTTTATTATTATTTTTTTGCGGAACATTTCAACACATTCAAAAAAATAATAATTTGAATCGTAAGAATAATAAATTATCGTTATGTTCGAATAAGAATAAAAAATTAATTAGTTTTATCCGAAAATTTCTATCCAGATATAAATAAAATGGAATGATTCTTTCTTTTTTTAAAAAAATTTTAATATAATTTTTAATTTATATCCTTATTTGCTTTTTTTTAAAAATAAATATTTAATTTGTTATTGTTTTTATTTGTAGTTAATCTTTTTAAATTGAAATCGCTTTTTTAAAAAATAAAAAATTCACCACCTAAAAAAAAATTCCATTTTATTAAAATATTAATTTTTTAGTTAAAAATGAAAAATAAAAAAAAAAAAAAATGGAATATTATAATAATAATAATAATATCCAGCATTTTATATTACAAATTTTATCCAAATTTTAAATTCAAACCCTAAAGAATATAACAAATAATATTTTTCTGATAAATTATTACGTAAAAAATCTAGCAAAATTATGGATAACATAATGACTTTCTCTCACGCCGTGAATTATTTGACCTGGATGATTTAGTTAAAGTTCCTCCCCAAAAAAGTAGTCTCATTAGGGAACTATATAAAAGGAGTATAACGATATCTTTTCTTATTATAGTTGAGGTGTATTTATTAAATTTATAGCCATT